CGTTTGATATAGCGGCTTATCACGTCTTCAAGACATCTCAAAGCACTTCATAGAATATACTCCGAAGTGAATTAATTGTATATTTTGTGGGCGAAATTAAGATGAACAATGAAATAATTTCAATGGATTTCTAGGGAGATTTGCTCACAATGCCTGAGCATCAACATATACTAAGAATGATCCTTGCATTTGCCTTATCCGGTTGTCGAGACGTCTCAAAGCGCTTCATAGGATTTATTGTAATGTGTAGTGACTGTATTTTGTAGACAAACGCGGCAACCAATTTGCAGACAGCAAATTATCTGTATTTAGGATTAATCTGTGAAGTGCAGTAGCCCAGAACTAAACAGTGAAGAGATGAATATTCTGGAGTTTTGTTGAATTACCCTTTTGGATCAGACAGTATTCATGCACAACTTCTTCCCTCCAGCTCCTTTCCAAGAAAATAAACAGATTTAGCAAAACCTGCATGAGGGTAGACAGAATACAATCTGTGGAAGAGGTGGTTTAAATGTCCTTTTTTTAATTAATTCTTTCATATTTTCTTGCACAATTTTGGCAGAACAGGACGTTTTTAGAATTCAGAACGTGGTCAGTTCGGTCAGATTTCTCTCAAGAAGGTTTAATATGTCATTCTTGTGTTCAGTAACCTTCAAATGCCTTCAAGTCCTTGCCTCAACCTGCTTCTGTGACCTTCTGATTTGCTGTGTACTACACACTTACCAACTCCCTCCATTCTGCTAGCTCAGCCTGCTTGACAGCTCCGACCCTAACGCTGGTGGTCGAGCTTTCAGCTGGTTTGCTCACACTATAAGGAACTTTCTCCCTCTTTACTTTCAAAATTCTTCTAAAAGTCTGACCGCACCTTTGGGCACTTCCCACTTCTTCGCCCCATTTCCCATCTCCAACCTTACTCGGGATCCCGTTCTGTCTCCATCCTGTGCAGATATTAGCTCCCCCACTGGAGCTGACTATTTTAAAAAATGATCAGATAGATGACTGTTTGAAAAAAAGTTTAGATTATGATAGCAGCTATATCAGAACTTCTCATGCTGTCAAGTATAGTGACGGCTTTTATAGACCAACTCAGTAGTTATTTTATACACAACAAAATTTCACAAACAACCATGAAGTAAATCATCAACATACTGTATATGGAAGATTGTGGCCAGGGCACTGGGAAAAAGTCCTCTTACTTTCAAATAGTGTCACGGGACTTTTAGCATCAACTTGAAGAACTGAAATGGGTTTAATCCTCATTTGAAAAACTACAACTCTAATAAGAGTGCAGCACTTCCCCAGTACTGCACTGGAAATACTCCCCTTCCCTCACTGGAACCTTATTGTCTGGAGAATATATGATCAGCTACCAATCCTTCTGACCTTAAACCTTGAAGTTTTCAACAGTTTTAATAACGTTCACATCAAAATTTAACCATTTTTTATTACTAGATCTGTGAATTTTGTTGGGACCAAACTGGATTATTTTATTACGGTTGGAAAACTTCCTCAATGTATGCAAACTCCGCTCGCACAAGATCATAATATGCTTCCAGATTCCTGGCCATTTAGGAACATTCTGAGCTGTGAGCTGTACATTACAAATATTCAATCTGTCAACAGTCTGAATGGTGCAACATAATATCTTTTGCACATGTTCCCTGTCGAATGCAGTCTTTGCCCACCCAGTCTCAGTGAGAATTCAGAGAAGGGGCCTTACATTTTTGAAGGTGTCAATGATCCAAACTGTCAAATAGATTGAAAGCAAATCATGTGAAGTAAAAGAAGAAGCAATGAAGCGTCCATAGCTGCACAACCATGAGCTGTCCATGGCACCGAGCCCGAGAAACACATATCCACATTGATAATAATAATAATAATCCTCGCATTTGATATAGCGCTTTTCACGTCGGGAGGACGTCCCAAAGCGCTTCACAGAATATACTGTAAAGTGAATTGACTGTATATTTGTGGGCGAACGCGGCAGCCAATTGCGCACAGCAATGTCCCACAGACAGTCATAGATTGAAGATGACCAATTTATTATTGTTTTGGGTTTTTGGAGGGATTATGATATCGATGTACCTGCTCAATTAACTAAATAACATTGCAAAACTCCAAACCAGAGTTTGGCTTGCAAATACACAGCTGTCAGCTATATTATTTGCATGCTATATTAAGCCAAATGAAACACAGGATAGAGTAATCACATCGCGTGGTACTGAAGAGCCTACAAACTGACACGTGAAAAACATCAAGGAGACAGACAGATCCCTGGCTCAACTCATTTACGTGTTGCTTTATATTGACAGCTATTCGGGTTGGGTGTTTTCATCACCAGTTTATGCCAGGTGCCCTCTTGTACATCGTCTAATCGAATGTAGCTCATAAAGTGAACCTTGACAGTGAGTGTCGAAAGGGCATATGAGCACAAAAACCATCATAGAAAATCCCTGTCCTCACCCAACACTCTTCCAACACAAGTTACTGCATAATAATCTTTGCATAGCACCTTATCACGTCTTCGAGATCTCAAAACGATTGAGAGAGGGAGAGCAGAGAGAGTGTGAGATTATGAGAGGGGAGGGTGTGAGAGGGGGAGAGAGAGTGTGAGGTGGGAGGGAGTGAATGTGAGGGAGGGGGGGAGATAGAAAAACACAGCAAGGGGGGAGATTGAGAGAGGGTGATTGAGTAGAGAGTTTGAGAGGGGATAGAGAGCATGTGAGGGAGAGAGCGTGTTGAGACGGGTGGGCGGGTGTAAATTCAGAACAAATCTATGCAAACACCTAGGGAGATAATAATAATAATAATAATAATCCTTGCATTTGATATAGCGCTTTTCACATCAGGAGGACGTCCCAAAGCGCTTCACAGAACATACTGTAAAGTGAATTGACTGTATATTTGTGGGCGAACGCGGCAGCCAATTGTGCACAGCAATGTCCCACAAACAGTCGTAGATTGAAAATGACCAATTTATTATTGTTTTTGGTTTTGGAGGATTATTATTAGGCTCTGTGTGGAGTAAGGAAACTTGCCCAAGGTTTCGCCCTCTGCCTGGAATTGAACTCAGGTCTCTCGCTTGATGGTTGAAGCAGGAAATGTTGATTCTTTCAAACATGGATTAAAGAGTTTTCTTTTAGGAAATAACATTATGGGATATAGGGGAGAGAGAGAGATTGATTGACAGGGTGTGAGAGGAGACAGCGCCTAAGAGAGAGGGGGGGAGAGAGAGTGTCCTCCCCCGTCCCTCTCTTCGTCCCCCAGAAGGCAGGTGTACCAGGGTTCTAGTGTAGCACAGATTGACAGCAGACCCACACTATACCTGGGTGCATTGTAATGGTGACGCACTATGTTTGAAACACAGAGTCTGCTCTGAAGTCCAGTAACGGATCCATTTTACCAAAGAGTCGAATCATAGAAATGTCACCACAGGAAACCAGTCAGCCCATCTTGCCTATGTCTTGTTAGCTTTCCACTGGAGTTTCCTACTCTAATCCTACTTTCTTGCTCTTTACCCAATAACCTTTATTCTTTCATCATTCATTTGTCTAAATCCTTTCTAAATGAAATAAGCGACTTTGTAATAATAATAAGCTCCCCACCCCCCTCAGCTCCCCTACTCAGCCTACCCCCACCCACCACTCAGCTCCCATTGTAAATTGTACGGTAAAAAACACTATTGAAGCTATCCACATAATCTTCATTGTATGTCTGCAGATTACTCCCAAACCTCCAGTCAGTGCCATTAAGAGCAGGAAGCATAACTCCCACTCCTAGTCACTTTACCCCTTGAAGTGATATTATTTCCTAAGCATAAGTGAACTGCATTCAGCTCAGGTTGCATTTAACAGCAATGTTAAATCTCACAGTAATCATGCACAATACAATCACTTTTTTAGCGTAAAAACATTTCCAATCATAAGACCACTTGTGAAATTTCAGAGAAGATTTAGATAATAGACATTCTCCTGTAATTCCGGTGTGTCCATCTCTGAAGCTTTATTTCCCAGACATACAGTCTTACATCAAAACAGTCCTGTTGTTATTGGGCTGCTGGGAATTTGTAATACAGGAGGAAACCCAATACAGTATTAATCATAGCAAACAGATCCAAAATGAGATAAATCACAACAGTCAAAGTGGGAAACCATAAAACCTCTGCAAAGAATAATGCAGCGATGCATGGCTTGGGTGTGAAACAAAACTCATCTGGGTATGTAAATTCATGTTAATTGGTCTCATTTAGGAAGCAACACAGTCCTTCTACCACAAGCATTTATTGTTTCAGACTTCCTTCATTCACAGGGCCTTTGCTCTCTCTGGATTTAATGTAGATTTCTATTTGTGTGCATTTTTTATTCTGTTTCAATTAAGCGGTAACATAATGTTGGTGGTAGGAAGAGTGGTCACAGGGAGTGATTGTCTCTTCTCCCGTTAGCAAACTTCCAACCCAAGGCTTTGTGTCAAACGGCTGCACAGGGCACAGAGCAAGCTGCACAGAGAAAGAAGGAAAGTAGGAAGGAAAACCCATTGAAAGTGATGCTGGTAGAGCGCTGTGAGTCAGCCGCCTCTGGGGCAAAAGTGGAAAGTGTACAAAACAATAAATATAAAAAATGTTTTGCAAACACAAAATGCTGGTCAGGGTCTCACAGTCCTTACAGCTTAAGATTTGGTGAAAAGTTGACCAAATTTGACACTGCTTGTCGCACAAGTCAAATCCAAATTACCAAGGAAAGTTTCACAAGTTTCTAAATTGTTTCCCATCCTGTTGTTGTTCTTTCACCTGGGTGTTAGATAACAGTATATGTTTCATTGCCGACTTCTTGTTCTCCAAGGAGATCAATCAGGTACATGAAAAATTCTGATTAAATGGAGTGGAACCTTTAAGGGGTGTTTTTAATCCCAGCAGTGACATCCACATCTCAGAGATAAGCATAAAAAAATTCATAAGTAAAATGATACCGTGCCTTCGAGAGTTGATGATTTCCCCAAATTACCTGGCAAGACTTCGTAAATATCTTCTTCTTCTTCCTGGTCCATTCCAGCCATCGAACTCTTATGATTTGGTTGATTGGCCAGTCCAGAGTCTACATCATCGTACGTCTCCTCATCATTTCCCTCTTCCTCCTCCTCCTCCTCCTCCTCCTCTTCCAATGGTATAAAATTGGAATTCATGTCTGAAGAAAAATCAGCATTGCGATTTAACAGAACAGTTCAGTCCTCCTGCTCCCCTCAATCTTTCTCAATAGCAGAAGAGTAAACCATTGACCAAATATTGCTCCTGCAGTAATTCCAAATCCCCAAAACATTAGAAAGTAAGCTATTAGTTCACAATTTTTGAACACAAGAGAATCGTTGGCCCTCTGTCGGACCAGCAATTCTGACCATCTCAGAGATAATACATCGACTCCCATTTCCCTGTACAGGGAAATAGCAAGCCTAAGTATATGCTAATGGATACAATCCTTAATCTGTCCATGAGTTTACTGTTTCTTGAGTTCAGCTGAGCTTATGCAGCTGCTACACACCAATAATTGAATCATCCATTGCTCCCAATAATCAGCAGTCCTCAGCACTCCTGGCATTTACAATAGAAACACAGAATAGGATGTTACATGGGATCTGATTTTCATTCTAGTCTCCACCTCTTGGGATGAAATGCTCCCCTTTCAAACAACTATAAGAGTCCGAACTGAAATGAACTTGAGGCAGTTTCAACAGAAAACTGCTATCTATTTGGCACTTTCCTAATAGAAGCCAAAAGGGTAGCTCGTGAGAAATCTGGAAATATAATAGGGGAGCTCTTTTGAGGCTGGAGGTTAAGATCTATTTTTCATGCAGTGCAGAGGGAGTTTGCTAACTCATGCTTATACCTGAACTGGGAGCTCAGTGAGACAGTGCGGAGCAACTTAATCATCGTACTTGTAATTTTTTTAAGGAAGGAATTAGTCATAGAGAGACTTTCTTTACATTTTCCATGAAAATGTGCCAAAATGTACACTGTAAAAAGCAATGAAAGTAAGACCTTTCACAGCTACATTTTTGTAGAAGAGGGATCAAACTGGAGCAACCAGCAGAGGATCCAGAACATACAAGCTCCACTCAGTTTAAAGCAATAAATAACAAAATGAGTATTGGCTCTGCTCCTTGACATCATGCCCGAGAGGCTGTTTAGAAATAAAAACTGATTAGCTTAAAACACAAGACTCAGCAAATGTCGCCTTTTAATACTATAGAAGGTGTAAGTGAATTCAAATTAAATCTCTTGCAGGAACATCACTGAGTGGGACTGACCTGCCATTACTACTGGTTCATCTGCTAAATCTTTATCATTCCCCTTCCAAATTTTCTCCCATTTTCTCCTGAAGGTGCTAAATCTTCTTGAACTGGTACTATCTGTCCTCCAGCACCTCGTCTAAGTGGCCATTCTTCATGTATGAGCTGAGACGATGTGTGGGAGTTAGGGCTATTGAACCACAGAAGGTATCACAGCTGAGCGCGAACCTGTCTTCAACTGATTTCCACAAATGCATGTGGAGTTCCCAGCAGGGGTCACCAGATAGCTATTATCTGGTTTTTATCTCTTTCCCAGCACACCCACTGCAATTGGCCAGGCCACCTGCTACAAGGTCTCTAGGAATGCCGGGTGGGTGAGTGGGTGAGCGAGCGAGTTCTCAAAGAGATTGTATTATATATACTGTCCATGCTGCATTCTCCTCTATTCTGACAAGATGCACAGAATGGAAAACCGCTTTACCGAACATTTCTTTTCCATCAATATAACAGTTTATAAAATATAGTCACTACACTTTACAGTATATCATGTGAAGTGCTTTGAGATGCTCTCTTCCCCCACCACACACACTTTTAAATTTAATTTTAAATATGTGAAAAGGCATTGTATCAATGTCAAGAATTATTACTCAAATCCCAATTTCCCTCTAGCTCAGCTCTTTAACTCCATCTTCCCTTCCATCCTGCACTTTTCCAATCCAAGGCCCAAGAGGAATTTCTTAGGAATCCTTCAGCTTCTTACCTGGACATCAATGTCATCACACACAATAATACAATAATATCAAGGCAACTGGGCTTGTGTGGAGTGCTGTTTGATCAACATGTTTTGACACGTGGGGGGGGGGCTTTTTAATTAGCGAGTTATAAACAAAGGAGACGTGAAAAAACAGACAGCTTTGGCACAGACACAAATGGTTTCCGCCTGTGCTGAAACGCTCTGTTTCTGTGAAGAATTAGAGCAGATAGATACAAGGCATCAACTTGGCTCAGTTAGTTGTACTCTCACCAATCCCCCTGATAAAATTGGTCATTCACTTCATTGATGTTTGTGGGACGTTTGCTGTGCACAAACTGCTGTCACATTCATCTACAAAACTGTTCACTCCAGGATTCCTTCCCTCCACAGACCATTTGTGGGCAAGAGCACAAATTGTGTCCTATAGAGTATCTCAGTCTGCCCCTATCCCTATATCCTCCAATATTGTTCTCAAGCAAGATAACTGTCCAGTTCATTTTGAAGAACGTTTTTTTTAAAAACACATTCCCTACAGTTCTGCTCTCAATCTAAGTGAATAACTTACCTTTCATGTAGGAAAACATCTTAAAGCGCTTTACTGAGACAGAATGAGAGTCTAAGCAGGTGTTATCCATTCAAATTTGCTGGATGCTGGAACCATTCAAATTTTCAAGACTGAGGTGGATAAATGTTTGTTAGGCAAGGGTATCAAGGGATATGGGGCAAGGGCAGGTAATTGAAGTTGAGGTACAGATCAGACATGATCTTATAGAATGGTGGAACAGGCTCAAGGGGATGAATGGCCTTCTCCTATTCCTTTGCTCCTTAGTAAGATAGAGGATAAAGGAGGAAGGTATGTGAAGGCACAATAAATCTTTAGACTAAACAACTAAATACACACTCTTCTGCCAGCTTGTTCTGCCCTTAAAAATCCTCAATGAGGCAGAGGCAAACCCTAAACCAGCACCAAGAGTAGGTGGCACAGAGATAGTCAGGCCTGAGCGAATGGCCAAACTATAACCTTTAGGAAAATTCAGAAATCATGAATAGAAATTAGTGCTAAATAAATTAAAACAGGAACATTTTATTACTCAAATATTGAAAAATATTTCAAGCCAAGTAAAAAAGGCAAAGACGCAGAGGTTGTTCACAATACAATTTAAACCATTTTGGGAGAGTTAGTTTAGCAGTGGCCTTTTCACATCCACTTTTATCTGTGTGCATTCTGTCCTGAGTATATTCTGCTCCCCACAGAAATCTACAATAAATAAAAAACACATTTACCTTTCAGTACGAATAAGATGTAATCGACCCATTCCTTGGCTTCCACATGGCTAACGGCAGTAAACTGAAAGAAGAAGGAGTCTCTGAGCACAGTACAAACTATCTGCAATTAGACTAAACCTGTGAACAACAATTGAAACAGCAAGGAAGGTAAAAGGCAGGTACAGGAGAAAACACAAGACACCTGTAACACTATCCACATGAAAGTGGTGAAATAGTTTTAAACTTGTTAATGGATTTGAATAACCTGCTTTCAAGCAGTTTACAAAAAGGATTCATCAAGTTGTTTTGTTCACAAATCCCAGGACAGCTTCCTGATGGCTCTATATTGCACTATGTGGTGTGGAACTGAAGCCTCAGGTGCGGTCCCCAATCTGTGCTGGAATGGCTGTTCACAATCAGATTAGCACTAAATATGCGACGACTTGTTTCAGTGCCAAATTAGCCAGGGTTCCCTTTCCTGATCCCCATCACTACGCTGTGAGCAATTGGCTGCTGCATTTTGCCCACAAAATATACAGTCAATTCACTTTACAGTATATTCTGTGAAGCGCTTTGAGATGTCTAGAAGACTTGATAAGACGCTGTAACAAATGCAAGGATTATTATTATTATTATTATTATTATTATTATTATTATTATCCAAGGAACCTGGAAACCCAACTGCTAAAATTTCCCACAAAGGAAAATTAGTTGTGTTCCAATATTCTGTAGTGCCAAAGCACTGGATCACACAAAGGGTGGAAGAGAGAAAATTTAGGATACTAGCTTTGAACCCATGCTCAGCTGTGTTTCTGCGGAGAGAAACCAAAGGCTGTGAAAAACAGAGAAACAGACTTACAACATTCTTAAACCTTTTCCTTTCCCAGTATGTATCCTACAACCACTTGTGCTAGCCACAAATAAATCAGCGGAACTGCGAATAATACAGACCATGGCATCCTGCCCTTTTCTAACTATATCTTGGGAAATTTTAACATTGATCGCAGTTGAAGACTAATGTTATGTTTTGGGACAAATTAATGGCAGTGTTCATGGACCATTGTTAATAAAGTCCATCAGAAACTGCAAGAAATTAGCGAATGCCCGATGGTATACTATAGCGCTCTGATATTGAAACATGCACAGAAAACTAACTGTGAGATTAGATCAATAAAACATCACAATCTAATTACACTTTAAAGAAAATTAAAAACACAGACAAAAAAAATTGTCTGTGGAAAATCACTGGAAGAGCAGAATTAAAATTTGTATACAATGCAATGTAACATACACTCTCCCTGAATGTGAGCTGGTGCCCAGGGATACTTGGTTTGCCACAGGGTCTTCCCCTGGCCCTGCAACTCTCAAGAGATACAATAGCACAAGATGGTGCAGCTTACCATGCCCAGTCACAGACTGCAAGTACATTGGCACTGTGTCTTCTCCAATATTTCTGTTGGAGTCAACACAAATCTCATGCACAATCAGACGTCTGCTTTTATCTATGTTAGCAATATTACCATTGTAAATGCTCCTCCTAAACCACCATGCCACCTGCTTCTTTATACTTCACGGCTGTTTCTGGAACTGTGTTGTCTGCAAATTTGCATCCATGTTTGCCAACCATCAAAAAAAAACATGCATTTGATGCAGTGTATTTTTAAAAAGATTTTAAAAAAATTAAACCATGCCCTTGTGCATTTGTGAATTCACACCGTTAAAGTGTCGTCACTTGATACAATGCCTTTCACATCGGGAGGATCTCTCAAGCACTTCACTGTAAATTCACTGTAAATGAGACTGTTTATTTTGTAGGCAAATGTGGCAGCCAACTTGCACACAGCTACGTCTCATTTATCTGGGGAAAGTCAGCCAGGACACAAGAAAAAGTCCCTTCTCTTTTCGAGCAGTGCCATGCAATCTTTAACATCCACTTGAACAGACAGACAGACCTTGGTTTAACATCTCAGCACTACATCAGAATGTCAACCTCTGTTTATGCGTTCACCTTCCTGATGTGGGACTTCAACCTACAACTTTCTGACTCACAGATGGGAGTGCTACCAACCGACCCACATTGACACTAAATATAAAGTCAATAGATGTGACAATAATTTCCTGTGAAGGGCTTTGATGTCCTACACACTATATCAAATGCAAAGATTATTATGTGGGGTTTTACACTCAACTCAGGTTCACAAAATGTCAAGGCTGCATCCCATCTGGTTTAGGCTGAGCAAGCAGCCAGGGAGGTTGATGGAATCCAACCCAAGGACAATGCTTGGGAGAACCAAAATAGATGGCTTCAGTCTTTTTGACATTAAGCTGCAGAGAATTGTGGCTCTTCCACAATGTCAAGGTGATAAGCTAGAATGTCAGAAAATTAATCTTTTTTAAAATTCCCATTTCTCCACTCTTCAACCTGGCTTTTCTCTCTCCGACAACAACATACATTGTTCCATGGATTATATATCTCAATATATACCCACCCCATATCATTCAGTAAATGTACCCACAAAAACACATTCACTGCATAATACAGTATACCCTATGAAGCACTTTAGAACATCCTCCCAATTTGTTATAACAAATGTAAAGATTATTATTATTACTCTTCCATTCTTAATTGCATAAGAGACTTGTCATCTCTAATAGCAGGACTCTGTACATTTTGTATTGTTAAGAATGCAACCAAATTGAACTTTTTGACTTCCTGGTGATTTTTGATGAAGTTCATAACAAGATTTAATTTATACCTGGTACGTCCGCTTGTCCGAGCCAACAAGCTCAAAGCAGCAATTCTTCTTGGAATCCTTCCTGGCGTTTTGCATCAGGTAAGCATTACTGATGTAAAATGCTCCTCTTTGCTGCTTGTCTGCAAGAGACCAAATAAAGAACTAGACAAGCAATTAGACAAGCAAGTGATACACCCAACAAACATTACAATTCTGTTCAGCCTCATTTCTCTGACACTTGTGGGCACAATTCAGAAGATTTGATGCAGTAACATTGCTCTGCCTGATGTCATCAGTGTGGTTTAGAAATCCGATTATAATATTAATCTACCAGATGGATGAGTTAGAGAAGCCCGCACGTATCACTGATGTTTCTTGGGCAGCATTTACTAAATGTGCTACTGACATCTAGTGGCAAAAGATCAATAGTGCACCAACTTTACCTTTATTTTATTGGCAGGTTGTCTGATTTGGCCATCATGGCCCTTTCTGTGGTATCCAATTAAAATATTAATTGTCCTTGGAGCCTCGAATATATGATCAAGAGAACGTTGCTCACAATATGTCACACCAATAATCCCACTCCATGCCCCACCAGTGCTGACAGAAATAGGATTTGAAGTAATATACCAAAAGACATGAAGAATAAAATTTTTACACTTTTTAAAAAAAACACAGGCAAAACTATTGAGCTACTAGTGAGATCAAATAAAATACCAATTGGATATTTTGATTTTTTTAGTCATCTGTGTTGGCTGGTTGCACAGCAGTCAAGAATGTCTGCCCGATACCTCAATTTTGAGTAATTAGAGGGAAAAAACATACATTCTAAAACAGAGAGGGAGATTTTGACAAGATTTTCAAGAACACATTCATGTACAAATATGTTGTCCATTTGAAAAGCAAGAGACAATAGTATGGGGTTATCTACTGCATTTACTGAATCCAGCAAACTTATTGATGTTGGTTAAGCACTACTATGTTCCTGTCACTGAGTTGAGAGTATTTGCCACTGTGACTCATATCTTCCCTTCAGTCACCTGCTGCCTTTTACCTTGTCTGGTCAGCAGTGTCAGTTTAGGCTTGTTTACACTACTTAGCCCTTTAAGATTACTCCAACTCCAGTTTCCCTTAAAGGCAGCCTGTGACAGAGTGTATGATTATAAGGCAATTTTACAATTATAATGTAAATATTTGTATTTTAAAATTGCAATATATTTATAAGCACATAACAGGAAGCAAAGAGAATAATATTACGATCAGTTCACACCAACTAATTTACAGGATAATTGCTGAATGTCTGTGCAGTGCTGTCTCTGTTTCAGTTACATTAGCTGTTCTGGTTACATATAGTCTGTGAAGCAAATCAAACTATTTTAGGAGACTTTTACGATCTCCCAAATATGCTTTAGAATAGTTTCCACACAAATGTTGGTCAAGGGAATACCCAACTTCAAAGGGAAGCCTGACTACTGATGACAGGGTAGATCTCACTTATGAAGCTCAATGGAGACACAGTAAACATCTCTAACCTGAAGTGATGACAACTTAACGGTTGTGGATTCACAAATGTGCAAGAGCATGGTTTGATTTAATGCCAGTTTTTTCCCTTTTAAAAATACAGACAGCGATTAAAGATACCTTCAAATCAAGGGACAATTCAATAAAAGAGTTGTTTTGGTTTTGTTACATTTAAGTCCAAACAAGGTGTTACCAAAGTGATCAGATAAATGACACCTATCTATTCGCAAATGAAATACTGATTGTATATTTTGATATTTTTAGTGGATGCTTTGCAAAGAGATCAAAACCTAATTTGATGAAAGGAAACGGCTGCGTGTAAAATTCTGGGGAATTAAAAGCATTTGCCAGGAGTTAGCTGACATCAACAATAGCTACAACTGGTCCAAGTGCCATTGGCCCAGGAGATGATGGATACGAGCAAAAGTCCCTGTCCTGATGCTATTCAGTGATCCTTGTTGGAATCGTGCGAGTCAAATTGGCTGGGTGATGACACCCAGACACCACTCACTAGTGTGAAAATAGCTACTTGGGACAAGATAGTGGAGGGCCGTATGCCTTTGTTCCAAGTATTTCCAAATTGTAGACAAATTTCAAGACATGGGAATCCTCATTGATAGCCAACCCATGGTCCACCGGCCAAAAGTGGTGTCAAGAAGTAGCCTGCTGAAGATTTGCACTAGTCCAGGTAAGTCTGTGTTAAATGAATATTTTGTTTCCAGTCGCTACTGAGTAACGATATTTATAGTGCGGTCATAAATCAAGAAATATTCAATCAAGAAAAATTTATTTGTTTGGCCAACCACACCCCCATTTTCATTTTAATATTGTTGACAACATAATATTCCTTGTTGCATGGTTGATGGATGACAAAACCCACAGGGAAAAGAGATAGATCAGAGAAAGCGCAAAAAATGCAAGAATAATATGACTCAAATTATTTTTAAAAACATGACATTGATAGATAAAGTACCTTTTTCAGTTCCATAGTAGTAGAACGTATTGGTGCTCAGCACACAGAATCGCTTCTGCCATTCAGAAACAAAAAAACTGTGATCTGAAGAGATAAATCAGAGTTAAATTTCCGACCTAAAAGAAGACATTCTTTATCTCCCCTCCAATGCTCCCAAGTTTCTTCCTTCATCCCGCTTCCCCCCACACCCCTCGGCAGGATGGTCTTTAGGTTGTTGCCAAGGGAACATGTTGGCCAGTACTACTTAGAGGAACATTTTGAGTATTTAACCCCTTTTTTTTTGGTCATCTGGGTATCTGACTGACACATGGGGAAACCCATCAGCATGCTTAAGAATATCCAAACCAAATTCCATGCATCCTACCTACACATGGAAATTCTAGAGATAGATTGTTGGAATGGAATGCACACTGGAGAGACACATCCTGTTTACCTAATTCTGTAAAGCACTAGGTGCAGGTTGGCAGGAGCCAAGGCTTGGGGACCCCAGTGTACGTTGGAGTACTGCAGGAGTCTAACCAGCTAAAACTGTATTACTTGCCATTGATAGCACTGTTTGGCAAGCTTTCCCACTGCTTGTCCAGCTAGGACTACCGTACATGTTAGGGCTTGCCTTGCAGGGTTAACAAGAGTTGTGTGGGAGGATTCCCTGCCCCAGTGACTGGCCTGTCCCTCCAAGTCCTGCCGATGAGCTGGGTGCCGTTATCAGAAGTGCCCTGGAATACTGCGGACCCGCCCGGCTCAGGAACCGGAGTACTGAGACCGCCACAGAGGGCTGTCTCTGATATTGCCGGACATGTCCCCTTGGAGCCAGTTCAGCTCCAAGGAGACCCGGCTTACAATTCAACTCCAACCCCTGCTAGTTTGCATTTAGTTTCCAAGACACACGTGTTACTTGTTTCTTGCTGAATTAACCTGTTTGGAGTGTGGTTATACAACCTCTTATTTCTTTTTAAAGCAATTAACTTCAGGACCGATTGGTGGTCTCCATTGCACAATTCTCATTCTACAAAAGCTTCCCATGAAAGGTGCAGCCTGTGTGGTTCAGGCTGCAGTGTTCTCCTGTCTGATGGACTGCTCTGCATTCTCCGGTGTAATGAATACAATGTTCATTCAACAGCGTCTTCTTGTGTAATGGAGTGTGTATATCACAAAGAAACAATATAACACACTAAAAAAAACCTCTGTGGAAATACTGGGAGATGTGTGAGTGTCCTTCAAAATGACAATAAATCTTGTGAAAGCCAGTCATTTGATCTCAAGAGTTCACCCCTTGGACAAAATGGCATAGTGCTGGAAAATAAAGTTCAATAAATCAGGAGCTAATAATTTATAAAATCTACATTATTGCCTGCCATCATTCACCAAAACAAATACTCACTGCACTTAGAGGTGAATAACACCATTTGAACATAGAAGTTAAGGTTTGTCTGTATCTGACATTCCCAACTCAAACTAAAATAGGAAAAAAACATTTGAGTACCATATAGGATACTGGCTCTTTGAAAAATCACGTCACCCCTCCACGTATCGAGGCCTATAACACTCTTAATGAAGTGTAGTATACAGAATAGATGGGGGCAGATTCATCTCACAAAAGTGCATGTATAGATTACATTAATGAAACACTAGTCTCTCAGAAAGTATTGTTCATGCACAAATCTTCATTTGTAGAGATTTCATTCTCAAGAGGATTTTTTCAATATGGTGAGGGATACCTGTCCTTTTCAATGAAACATTTTTCCACTTTTATCTATCAGATTCGGTGGTAAATACTTGTAGGTCAGACAAAGCAGATTCAATAAATCCAGCAATCCCAGGTTCCACTTGGCCTCATGAAGGTAACTTAAGCCCAACCTTGGAAGTGTTGACAGTCGACCATGCTATTCACCTCCACCACCTCTCTCTCCTCCCTCTTCCACCTTAGTGGGTCCGCACTCACATGGTTCGAGTCCGACTTAACAAAGCACCAGCTCAGCCAATAGTTTTTCTTCCCGCCCGGTCACCTGCAAGGTACCCCAATTCTCCATCCTTGGCTCCCTCCTCTTCTTTATCTGCGTGCTCCCTCTCGGCAATGCCATCCGTAAACTTCCACATATGTGCAGACGACACACAAATCTACTTCTCTTCCTCCAGCTGCGACTCCCAGGCGATATCAACGCCTGGATGAGTGCAAACCACCTGCAGCTGAACGCTGACAAGACGGAAGCCATACTTTTTGGCTCCCTTCAACATCTTCTCCCCTACGGCTCAGACCACCTCACCCTACCCAATCTCTAAGGCTTACCAAACCCGTGCACAACTTAGTCATATCCCACATCCGGTCCCCTGGCCAAGACTGCTTACCTCCACCTCCGCAACATTGCCCGCCTCTGTCCACTTCTCTTTCCAAATGCTGCCAAAACCCCTCGTCAACGTCTTTGGCACCTCCTGCCTCGACTACTCAAACGCCCTCCTCGCTGTCTCCCCAGCTCCAATATTCACAAAATTCAACGAATTCAAAACTCCGCCGTCTACATTCTCCCCTGCACAAAACTGTACCTCCATTACCCCAGTCCTTGTCAAACTCCATTGGCTCCCTGTCACAGAGCAGATCGATTTCAAGTTCCCCACTCTTGTATTTCAATCCCTTCACGCCCTGGCAACCCCGATCTCTCCAACCTGTTCCCTCACTACACTGCTACCGCTGCCTCCGCTCGACTGACTCTGGCCTCTTCCTTGTCTCCCGGAACCCCTACCCCACCATTGGCGGCCGTGTTTTCAGCCACTACGCCCAAAGCTGTGGAACTCTCTCCCTCAATCCATTCGCCTTGCCCCCTCTCTCCTCATTTTCAGGTTGTGTTTGAGGATCTTCCTCTTCGACTGTGCCTACGGTCACCTTCCCTCCCCCTTGCTCAGCATCGGGCTCTGCTACTGATAAGCACCTTCCAGATACCTTCAAGATACCTTCCAGCGTGAAGTGTGCTATATCAACGTAAGTTGTTGTGTACCTCTTTACACTTTTACTCTCACACACTAGCTCGGTAAATAGCGTAGACATTATTGTTAAATAATGTTTTGCCTACAGTCAATTCACGTTATAGCATATTCTATGGAGCGCTTTGAGACAGCTATGCTACGTAACAGCAGCTGGTGTTGAATTTTGGGAACTGTCCTAATTCATTTCCAATTAGACACAAAACAGTCATCACAGGGATGAAATTTATTTCATCAATCTGAGCTGGATTCAACAACAACAAGATTACATTTGAATAGCTCCTTTCACATCGGGCGGACGTCCCAAGGCACCGGACAGAGTACAGCATTTCAGACCCGAGCTGAGGGAGGGGGGGAGGGAGGAGAGAAGAAAGGTGTGGCCAATGGCCTGGTTGAAGAGGAGGATCTTGAGGCAGGACTTGAAGGAGGCTAAGGAGGGGGCAAATTCAAATTCAACCAAAAGGAAACAAAAGTTCTCTGCGCTATTCAATACCCCTTTATTGGTGCTCAACAGAGAAATATATTTCTGTAAACCAAGAAGTTCATAAAATGCAAAGATTTTTTAATAAACATTTGTAACTGGTACCTCTGCGTTTCTTCTCCAGATATCCTTGCTTCATTATATTTGGCAGCTCCTGGACTGGGAGGAGAGGAATGTCTTCGTATTGCACTAATCCAAAAAAGAAGAGTCAAGAAATCAATAGTTCTTTCCTGGTTTAGAAACAGTCTACAAACCAATATCTCTTATAAGAAAGATTTTTTTATAGGAAACAAAAATGTCTGATCTCAGAAACCATGTACAGTGTTCAGCTTCTAACTTTTGAGTATTTTATTTGATTCCTGGGTTATACTAGGTTAGATGATAAGACCATAAGAATTTTCTGGTGAAAGAAGATGAAGGTCCATCTAGTTCGCCTTCCACCATCCTGGCAGTCGCTTGACCTGTCATGTCCCAAACTATATACCGTACAGTGTATCACTTTTGACTGAGGTGTGTATGTGGTGGTGATACGGTGGGGTCAATAGTCAATGTGTGTGTGAAACCACCCAAGTATGTGCTCTCATTTAATATCCTGTGCCCTCCTCACCCTTCCCCTCTCCCACTTGCTGGAAGAGCATATCAGGATATCAGATAAGGCCACTCTCCATTACATTGCACAAGTTAATAGTTTAGTGTTGGTGAGATATTACAAACTAAATTGCATTACGTAGCAACTTTCATATCAGGAGGATGTCCCAACGCACTGAACAGCTGTGGTTGGAGTCAGGAGGGGTGGAGATCAAGGGGGTGGGAGAATGACTGAAGGCACAAAGAGGAAGGTCTTGAGACGGGCCTTGAAGGAGCAAGATAAAGGGATTCCAGGATGAAGGTCCAGAGGGTGGAGCAGAAATGGTTGGCGGGGTAGGGAACTTGGAGGGTTTATAAGTTTATATTCAAGTCTTATATTATTCAACTGTCGAGGGCATCACATTTGAAACCTCGTCAGTTTCTCACCTAATATCCACAAATACACACACTTTCCAACAGTGGTCATTGGATTCCAATCAGGAGCAGGAAATCTGATTGATTCTGTGCCTTTACTAGGGACGACTCAACTAATTGTAGCATTACATTTACTTAAACACAGTCTCGTATTCAAATTAGCTTTCTGGTCTCTATTCTGGTTTGTTAGGGAGACGTCACTCCCAGTTGCACAATACTGCATCATGGTAAGAAATTACAGCTGGAAATCTGCTAATAAACAACAACAACAACAATAAAATTACATTTGTTAGCGTCTTTCACGTCGGGAGGAAGTCCTAAGACGCTGGACTATGAGAGACCAAGCAGAGACTATGAGACAATTTTCACTAGCGTTCACAATTATGATTTGTGGCAGCACTGAAAGGAATTATTCATTGACCATCTTCAGAGATCATATGTCACTCCTACTTCATTCCAATAAAGTTTGCACACAAGGATAACATAGCTTTCTTAAATTAGGTTCCCCCAAATCATATCAGAATTTTTTTATGCAAATAACTCTTACCTCATATGCCACAGAAAATTTAATTGAACCCAATATCAAACATTAAACTCGTTATAAATTGTGACGGTATAACTTTATTACAAAACAGTTATTTGAGACTTCTCCAGTGGATCAGTGTGGAACTGAGCAATGCAGTCCAGCAAGATCTCAGATTTTATCTCTGTTTTGCACTGATATACCTGCTAGTTAGGAAAGGAGACTTGCATTTGATATATAATTTTTCATGTCTCACAGGATTTACTATGAAGTGTAGTGACTGTACAATTTGTACATGAATATGACACCAATTTGCGCACAGAAATATCCAACACCTGTGAAATGCATGACCACTTTGTTTCATTGGCCAAGACCAAAAGAAACTCCCACCAGGAGAAACTCTTCTCTTTTTGAATACTGACGTGGGATCTTTAACGTTCACCTGGATGTTAGCTGGACTGGACCACGAGCAGGCAGACAGAACCTCGGTTTATTGTCTCATCCAAAGGATAGGAATGCTTCTGCAAATTGTGTCAGTGCCTACGTGTGTATGTGTGTAAACATGTCAAATGAAGACAGGAAAGGACTCGGCTGTGATGCCCCACAACTGAATAGCTGCCGACACTCATTACTCCAGGGTCATACATGAAAAATAGCCATTTGCACGAGGTAACAAGGACTGACTGCCTGTAGAACAGTCCCTCAACACGAGTCATTGCTTCAGGAGAAGAGTAAAAGAGAAGTTTGTGGTGGGAGAGAGGAAAAATTCTGTTTCATTTTATTGATAAATTCTTGGTATTAGTGTTGAAATAGACTACCACAAACAAGGTAAATGAATGCACAGCCATGTACATTGCACATTGGCATAGCACATGCTGAAATTCACATTAGGATTAAACTGCAATTTTGCTATGCAAGAACGGTTTTGTTGTGGGCTCATTAAACTTCTATTTATTCATCAGGCGAAGAGCAGAGGGGGGAAAGAAGCAGCAGAAATCATGTTTATGAAAGCTCTTTTCAAAGTGCACCATCCGATCTGTCTGTCAGTGGAGTCTGGATGTTGGAGTGGCAATATTTCACTTCTTCTCCTGGCCCCGCTGGTACATGTAATAAAAATCTCTTTGATTTTAAATTTTGTTTAGATCTTAAAAACACGATATCCTGCCAAGGGCCTCGGAGGAAGCCCCCACAAGGCTCCCATCAATATGCATGGTAAAATTGAATTACCCGGGGACTGCATTTCCTTCGTGCACTGCTTCAGCAGTTTAATTTCATTGCATCCAGACTAGATGAGCAGTGCCAGGGATGTGTTCCCCAGGATGCTGCAAGTTCTGATAAAGATCTACTGCATAAATCATTGAGCGCAGGATGCTAATTCAATGAAATAAGCCACAGAATTGAAAGCTTCATCTGCTCCATTAAAAGATCAATTAAGGGTCCTCTAAACCCTGCAGATACTAACAGCACTTTTTTTCCCTCTCTCCAGCATTTAATTTATCTGATTGGGCCCTTTGTTATATCCAGGTTAATGATGCGAATGCAGCATTATATTTAACCCCACATGCATACAGTTACTTTTCTGTTATTATTACCGAGTTTTTCATTTTATTTTTTCCAATCTCTTACTCTCTGATTCCCAGCTGCCCACCTAACATTAATTCAGGTGGGTGACTGTAACCCAGAAATAATACCTGCTAACCTTTCGAGCAAGCCACGCTTTTGTTAAACTCCCAGCAGTGCAATGATACTAACGAATATTGTCAGGTAATTTGGACTCCCTCGCTATACATCAATGATTCTGCCGACAAAATGCACATCGCAGTGTCAGCAATGCACTGTAGAAAAGACCAAATTGACGTAATTTTAGGGAGAGGCAGTATGATTTGCTAAACAAAAATAAACAGTACTTTAGCACTTACTAATAATCTGACTTTTTACAACTCTTCGTTTCCGGGGGGAGATTTTTGTTCTCATCAAGGTGAGAAATGTCAGCATTGGGAAATATAACAATTCCACTTACAAAGTTCAGGTTGAAAAAGCAGGAAAATGGCAATGTAAATGGAGCATCATAGCAGAAAAGGTGCTATGGGATATAAAATGAGTCTCCTCCAGAAAACTGCACTCATTTTTAGTACACTGACTAGTGCCGACCTGGCTCAGAGGAGATTGTTTTGGAACTGAGTTCTCATGGGTTAGCATGACAGTTTAGGAGTGCTTCATGCTAAAAGAATGAAAAAGCATTGGTATGGAAAATGCCAGAGTAAGTGGCACCTCAGTACATAAAGCGACACGTTATCTTTACCCGCCTTTTTTGATACAAGACACCATTTATGCTGATGTTTTCCAAAGGACCGCTTTTTCAACTCAACTGTTTGCTTCCAAAATCGGGTACATCAGTCTGTGATGAACAAGGCAAATGGACGGCAATGGTCTTTTTCTGTTTCATAAATTCCTATGTTCTTATTATTTAGTATTGCCTGTACTCAGGCATTTGGGAGTACACCCTAGTTTGGGCATGTATAAAATTGATTATAAACTTGGAATTAAGTGTTCTGGTAATATCAGTGCAGCGAATTCTCTCCAGGCTGCAGTTTAAAACGATGTTGCTGAATGTTTTAGATGTTTTCTTCATTAGGACAGTGATTGGCTGCAGGATTAATCCACACATCCCTGCATTGAGATGATGGCATTGCGCTTTGATCAGCCATGTGTGACTGAGACATCTTCTCCCTTTTAGAATCTCTCCGGCACTATCCACACAGGCTCAGTGCTGTCAGTCTCTCTGTCTACACAATATAGCTTCTGACAGCCAATACAGCATTACTCTGTACTGCTCTGCACGTATCCCTGATGCACAGACAGTGTGTGATGAAGAGCCTCTGTGGTTCAGTCCGTGTCCCTATTTTTTCTCCATTTTATTCATTTTTTTTTAAAAACTCTGTTGTAAACAATCAAACAAGAAAAACACAACGAATATAAAGTCATGGTCCATTAGCCCCCTGAGTCATTCTTCAGAGAAAGAAAGAAAAACACCCGCAGTAAGATTAATGTAGTATGTCTGCATTTCAGGAAAAATAATAGTGACATCTACAGATCCCTATTTCCAGCCTGGTCACAGATCTGTGCCTTTGTTGAGAGCAAGAATTTAGTTCATTTTGCTCTTCTGTTCTATTCAGCTATACAAGGCTAGGGCACGTGGACTTTTCTTCACATTTTTCCTATTCTTCCTATTAAGATTTCCGCACTGTCCTGTTAGAAATGGAAACAAAATACAAAGCTGTTCTTGAAAAGACAGATGCTTCTCTTCAACAACATCATTTGGGCGTGTGGCGTGATTTGGGTATTTATTAAAAGTGAGGGATGTCCATGTTGGGAATGGAATGTTTCACCATTTTTTGTTTCCAGTCTTATCATCAAAGCTCTCGACAGGTCGGTAAGTCTAACCTAGGAGCTAAACAATTGTTGGGTTTTCTTCCTCTCTTCCTCCCACAACACATGGCTAACGGCTCGTCCTATAGGGACAGTCTTCCAGCCAACTCCAGTCTGTGAAGAAAAGCCTAGTTCAGACATTTGGTATTTCTCATTTGTTCTCAGTATTAGGGGTGGTTCTGAGAATTGAAAATTTGGGGCAGGCCAGTAATCTTTCCCATGAAACAATTCCACC